AGTCAGTAATCAATATCTCTCAAAGATAACAAATTGTACTTAAACTCACAAGAAAGAACTTTCTTCAAACCCACGAGGGTGCTTTGCTTTTATAACCAGCAGTGATTTGATCCCATTAGAAGCCTCACTTCAATGCACTCAAGCTCAATGCTCATCCTGGACCTTCATCTAGATAGAGATAAACTTTTCTTAAGCCTTATCTTTATCCAGACTGAGATCCTCTCATGTTCTAGGACTCTTGTCCTTTATCGGCTCATCTTGAATTCCGATATCTCCACAGATAATCTCGTCCTAGTCGAGATCACCTTGACACATGACCATGCCACGTAACACCTCGGTTGTCACTTCGGCGTCACCTTAGTCACGTGCGAGATTCACAAAATATATCCCCACAATTATTTTATTTATCGATTGATACAAAAAATATATATATTATTCAATTCTTTTATTATTGATCATAAAAGAATTGATATATTAGAAAGGATCAAAAAAGATAAGTATTAGTTCCTTTATTTGTACCCAAGTTAATTATAAAATTAAATATAACTTTCTCGTAGTAGTGAGAAAGTTAAATATCATTGCCATTTCCAAATTTTTCAAAATATTGATTAAGGTTATGTAATTTAAGTACTTACAAAAATAAAAATAAAAAAATTTTAAATTTTAACCCTCAAAATCCAATATAACTTTACTTCAACCTGTCAAACTTCACAAAAACTTTAACAACTATACAATTTTGAGCATAGCATTTTGACCCTTCCAACATTTACATACAACTTTATTTTAAGCCCTAAGAAAATTAATAATTTTACTTTGACCCCTCATTTCCTTTGTATTATTTTTGGGTCCATCATTGCTCACATTACATGGATGTGAAATTCATGAAAAAATGGCACTATATAAGACGATTGTATCTAATTCTATAATCAATTTAGATTAATTAAAAAGGGTGATTGTGGATAATATTTATTGAGTATGCATGTAGCGGAGTCCAAACATACACAAGAAAAATCTATTTTATATTATAGCAGAAGATCATCAAATCCAAAATACTAATCAAACTTTGACTATTATCCAAAATAAGAGGTATTCCCTTTATATGGTCTTCCACTTCTTTAATGGATGATTATGATTAATTTGATTCAACAGTCATTATTAATCTTTTCAAATAATCTTCTTTAAAAAAAAAACCTTTTTAGAATAATTAGAATATTTCATCTTTCAATTATAGTCAAATTTTCTAAACTATTTAAGTTCATAGTAAAGTTTTATATATTTTTCTAGAACACTCTAAAACGTTGTAAAATCTTTAAAACTTTTCCAATATTCTATAAGTAACAGATTGTTTTAATATATTTTAAAACTTTCTAAATTTTTTTAGAATATTATTAAATGATGTGAAAGAATTTAAGTCTATTTTGAATCTCAACAAAATATTTGTCTTGGAGTGTAATGTTAGTAGATGATTGGCTTGCTTTTTGGTCCCAACTTAATAGGAATTGTCTAGTTTGCTTTGATGCTTTGGCACTCGCCTCCCTTTATTTTGTATTCTGTACATTTAATTTTTATCAATAAATTTTCTTTTGCTGATAAAAAAAAGAAAGAAAGGGGGAAACTACATGCAGGGATGAGTTGAAAAAAAAAACAATTACCAATATATTATTTACACCCAATTACAAATAGGCTTACACTTCATATATTTGTAAATTTATTTATTTTATTTTTTTCCAATTCTTCCTGCATATAATTTTTCCTTAAATTAACAACGAAGTCCAATAAAATGGCGATAACAGACATTTGACTTTGACGTAACCTTGACAAATTTTTTGTTTTTTACTACCATGTTTGGAAGATATGAGATATTGATAAGATTTTATACAGAGCATATCTGAACCGACGAAATCATGTTACTTGATTTTTTAATTCCACCAAATTCAATGTATTAATTATATTTTTTTAATTTTCATATCTCTATATCTCATATAATTATATGATTAAGATTACATTAGGACAGATAAACAAAAGCATTTAAAGAGAAAAGATGCCTAGCCTAAATCAGAATATATAAGGTACAAACCAAACAAATTTATGTTAATTTGTCTAATCAAATCAAACTGTACATCTCATCAAATGAAATTAATTATATGAATATATTTTTTTCACTCAACTTTATCAACGGCCTTTTAACTTTAGTCAACTTTTTAATTAATCTCTCTAAAGAAAATGATATACACGTACACTTTGTATATCCATTTTTTAAATTTAATGATATGTAAGGGCTATAAACGAGCCAAGCCGAGTCGAGTTCTGTAAAGCTCGAGCTCGGCTCGATAGAATTTGATAGTGTTCGGGCTTGGCTCGAGCTCGAGTCAAGTTATGAAAGTTGTGCTCGAGCTCGGCTCGCTAGATATTTATAAAGCTCGAGCTCCTCGGCTCGAGCTCGAGTCGAGTTATGAAAGTTGTGCTCGAGCTCGGCTCGCTAGATATTTATAAAGCTCGAGCTCGGCTCGCCATAGCTCGTTTACAAACGAACGAGCTCGAGCTCGAACACACAAACAAATTAAATTATGAACAGCCCAAACAAATCTGTCAATCTTGAAAATAAAATAAAATAAATCAATAACAACATCCTAATCTTGAAAATAAAATAACAACAACCCAATCTTGAAAATAAAATAAACTATGAACAGCCCAATCTTGAAAATAAAATAAAACATCCTCATGCAACAATAAATCAATAACAACAGCCCAAACAAATCTGTCAATCTTGAAAATCAAATAAAACATCCTAATGCAACAATTGATACATCCTAATAACTAATCTATCAATCTTCCTTCTCCTTCTCTTCGTCAACATCCTCAACCTTTCCTTCCTCGTCTTTCTTCTCTTCCTCATCCTCTTCATCAGAAATTTCCTTCTCTATAGTCTTCTCAATCTAGAGAGAGATTGGGTAACTAATGAATTCAGAATGCTTCTTGACCAAGTCCTTGAGACGTCGTTCCTCAAGGTACTCAAGCTGGTCTTCTTTAAGATTGTTCACCAAATCTGCAACCATTAAATTTAGATTTAGAGACAACATAAAAATCCCAACAAACCATACATATATGCAGGTAATATGTAGGTAATATGTTTATTTATGCAAAAAATAAATAAATAAAGAAGTTATGAGTCTGACCAGTAATTATTGTATATGCAGATATACAAAGCACAATGGAGAGTTATGAGTCTGACCAGTAATTATTGAATGCAATGGCAACTTTCATAGGACATTATGTGGGTGATTTTCCGACCACACTGCCTGCTTAGTAACCAGCTGGAGAGCACTGGCAGAATAGATGGCACCTGACTGACCTGCAACAGAAATATAAGAATCCCGCGGTGGTTTCGACCACCTGGGAGTCCAATAACAGACATTTGACTTTGACGTAACCTTGACAAATTTTTTGTTTTTTACTACCATGTTTGGAAGATATGAGATATTGATAAGATTTTATACAGAGCATATCTGAACCGACGAAATCATGTTACTTGATTTTTTAATTTCACCAAATTCAATGTATTAATTATATTTTTTTAATTTTCATATCTCTATATCTCATATAATTATATGATTAAGATTACATTAGGACAGATAAACAAAAGCATTTAAAGAGAAAAGATGCCTAGCCTAAATCAGAATATATAAGGTACAAACCAAACAAATTTATGTTAATTTGTCTAATCAAATCAAACTATACATCTCATCAAATGAAATTAATTATATGAATATATTTTTTTCACTCAACTTTATCAACGGCCTTTTAACTTTAGTCAACTTTTTAATTAATCTCTCTAAAGAAAATGATATACACGTACACTTTGTATATCCATTTTTTAAATTTAATGATATGTAAGGGCTGCAAACGAGCCGAGCCGAGCCGAGTCGAGGTCTGTAAAGCTCGAGCTTGGCTCGATAGAATTTGATAGTGTTCGGGCTCGGCTCGAGCTCGAGTCGAGTTATGAAAGTTGTGCTCGAGCTCGGCTCGCTAGATATTTATAAAGCTCGAGCTCGGCTCGACATAGCTCGTTTACAAACGAACGAGCTCGAGCTCGAACACACAAACAAATTAAATTATGAACAGCCCAAACAAATCTGTCAATCTTGAAAATAAAATAAAATAAATCAATAACAACATCCTAATCTTGAAAATAAAATAACAACAACCCAATCTTGAAAATAAAATAAACTATGAACAGCCCAATCTTGAAAATAAAATAAAACATTCTCATGCAACAATAAATCAATAACAACAGCCCAAACAAATCTGTCAATCTTGAAAATAAAATAAAATAAATCAATAACAACATCCTAATCTTGAAAATAAAATAACAACAGCCCAATCTTGAAAATAAAATAAAACATCCTCATGCAACAATAAATCAATAACAACAGCCCAAACAAATCTGTCAATCTTGAAAATCAAATAAAACATTCTCATGCAACAATAAATCAATAACATCAGCCCAAACAAATCTGTCAATCTTGAAAATAAAATAAAACATCCTCATGCAACAATAAATCAATAACAACAGCCCAAACAAATCTGTCAATCTTGAAAATAAAATAAAACATCCTCATGCAACAATAAATCAATAACAACAGCCCAAACAAATCTGTCAATCTTGAAAATAAAATAAAACATCCTCATGCAACAATAAATCAATAACAACAGCCCAAACAAATCTGTCAATCTTGAAAATAAAATAAAACATCCTCATGCAACAATAAATCAATAACAACAGCCCAAACAAATCTGTCAATCTTGAAAATAAAATAAAACATCCTCATGCAACAATAAATCAATAACAACAGCCCAAACAAATCTGTCAATCTTGAAAATAAAATAAAACATCCTCATGCAACAATAAATCAATAACAACAGCCCAAACAAATCTGTCAATCTTGAAAATAAAATAAAACATCCTCATGCAACAATAAATCAATAACAACAGCCCAAACAAATCTGTCAATCTTGAAAATAAAATAAAACATCCTCATGCAACAATAAATCAATAACAACAGCCCAAACAAATCTGTCAATCTTGAAAATCAAATAAAACATCCTAATGCAACAATTGATACATCCTAATAACTAATCTATCAATCTTCCTTCTCCTTCTCTTCGTCAACATCCTCAACCTTTCCTTCCTCGTCTTTCTTCTCTTCCTCATCCTCTTCATCAGAAATTTCCTTCTCTATAGTCTTCTCAATCTAGAGAGAGATTGGGTAACTAATGAATTCAGAATGCTTCTTGACCAAGTCCTTGAGACGTCGTTCCTCAAGGTACTCAAGCTGGTCTTCTTTAAGATTGTTCACCAAATCTGCAGCCACTAAATTTAGATTTAGAGACAACATAAAAATCCCAACAAACCATACATATATGCAGGTAATATGTAGGTAATATGTTTATTTATGCAAAAAATAAATAAATAAAGAAGTTATGAGTCTGACCAGTAATTATTGTATATGCAGATATACAAAGCACAATGGAGAGTTATGAGTCTGACCAGTAATTATTGTATATGCAGATATACAAAGCACAATGGAGAGTTATGAGTCTGACCAGTAATTATTGTATATGCAGATATACAAAGCACAATGGAGAGTTATGAGTCTGACCAGTAATTATTGAATGCAATGGCAACTTTCATAGGACATTTTCATGCATATCATTTCAGCTCAAGTAATACATCTTGCTAACAGCATTGAAAGGAGCTCAATGAACAACAAGAATCCATGTTCAAGAATCACAAATAAAATAGAGATCTTCTACCTAAGAGAATGAAGATCAGGATGTATGTGAGCTTCATCTGATGTTACTTGAGCTTTAAGTGCCATGAGAATAGCTTGCTGCTTAGCATTCTCAACTTGAGCTTCTACCCACTGTCTTTCACTCGTTCCAAATCTGTCACAGTATTGAACAAGTATAAACCTTTTTTTATAAGTATTGGACATCTACAAACTATATAGCCAGATAAACAATTATCACAAAGTTATAAAAGAAGCATGTTCAAAAATGTAGGTGTCTTGTTTAAGAAACAACTTCTGACAAAAAAATTATTGAACCTGATTGCATAATATACTGAAGAACTAGACATTCTCACGATAATGTTTCAAAAGTAGGATCAATCTAACATATCTCATTGTCATGTGCATAATAATAACACAGGTGACAGAGAGAGGAGACGGAGGGCTCTGTCACAATTTAATTGATAACAAAAAAAAAA